GTGTATGTGGCTGGCGCCTTAGCCACTTGAGCCACAGGCGCCGAGCCGGGAGTGCTTTTAATAATTAAGCTGGGGCAACAGACTAAAACCAGGATTGTCATGGGCTAACCTGGGCGTCTGGTCACCCCAGATGGAGAGAATCATTGGAGAATGACCCTCTGGATAGTTAAGTTTTCAGTGTGGGTGAAAGCATCTTAACCTCCTTATACCAGTCACACTGTTTTTTCTCAGAAGAAGATTCTCCCCATTCCAGTTTTCTCTCTGCTCAATTCAAGTCCTACAAAAGGTTAGTCCCCTTGTTCTGAGGTTAAGCTACACCAAAATTGGGTCCCTCTCAGTTTAGCACTGGAAAGTTACACACCTCTCTTCCCAACAGAGAATCATCTCAACTGTAATCCCCATGCCATTCAGTAACTCCAGAGGCAGAACTATCATAGTCAGCACTTGATACTTAATATATAAATAATATATTATTTATTTATTTATTTATTTATTTTTTTGAGACAGGACCCTCAAGCTGTCCCCCTGGGTAGAGTGCCATGGCATTTCAGCTCACAGCAACCTCCAACTCCTGGGCTCAAGCGAGTCTCCTGCCTTAGCCTCCCAAGTAGCTGGGACCACAGGCGCCTGCCACAACGCCCGACAATTTTTTTTTTGGTTGTAGCCATTGTTGTTGTTTTGACGGGCCCTGGCTGGATTTGAACCCGCCACCTTGGGTGTATGTGGCTGGCGCCTTAGCCACTTCAGCCACAGGCGCTGAGCCTAAATAATATATTATTGTCAAATTTTATTAAATGCCTTTTCAGCATCTACTGAGATTGAATAACTAGGTACTGTGGCTTATGCCTGTAATCCCAGCACTGTGGAGGCCAAGGCAGGAGGATTGTTTGGGGCCAAGAGTTATGAGACCAGCCTGGGCAATGAGAACCCATCTCTACAAAAAATAGAAAAATTAACTGGGCATGGTGGTGTGTGCCTGTAGCCATAGATACTGTGAAGGCTAAGGTGGACTTGAGCCTAGGAGTTTAAGCCTGCAGTGAGCTATGATTATGCTATTGCAGACTCAAAAAATTAAAAAAAGATTGAATGTGTTATTGTTATTTCTTCCAATGTACTAATATGGCAAATTGTATGAATAGTATTCCTAATATTGTACTATTCTTACAGTTCAAGAACAGGGTCCCTTGTTCACGGTGTGCATGTATATATTAATGTACTACTGAGTATTTGCTAACATCTTATTAGAAGTTTTCATTGAGATCTCATAAATGAATATCTTTTTTAGTTTTTTATTTTTGGTAGAGACAGAGTCTCACTTTATCGCCCTCGATAGAGTGCTGTGGCATCACAGCTCACAGCAACCTCCAACTCCTGGGCTCAAGCAGTTCTCTTGCCTCTGCCTTCCAAGTAGCTGGGACTACAGGCGCCTGCTACAACGCTTGGCTATTTTTTGGTTGCAGCTGTCATTGTTGTTCGGTGGGCCCAGGCTGGATTTGAACCCGTCAGGTCAGGTGTACGTGGCTGGCACCTTAGCAGCTTGAGCCACAGGTGCCGAGCCACCGACTATTTTTTCTTTTTCAGACGGAGCCTCAAGCTATCCCCCTGGGTAGAGTGCCATGGCATCACAGCTCACAGCAACCTCCAACTCCTGGGCTCAAGCGAGTCTCCTGCCTC